GAAGGTAAGCTGCAGAACAATATGTATGATATAATCCTGAGTGTATATGTGGCATGTATTTTTAAGAATACATCTTTTGTTTTTGGGTGCACACGCACTTATAAGCACATAGAAAGATATTATTATGTGGAAAGATATATAAGAAAGTTAATGGCAGTTATTTTGGAAAATGGTACTGTGAATTTTAAGGGATGGTAGAGGAGAATTTTTCATCTCTTTTGATAGTCCTTGAATTTTTATCATGCATATTGCTTTTGTAATTAAAAGATGAACTGTCATTCTTTCTGTTGTACATGGTTAGAAGAGATTGGCCTTGTCAGGCCTAAACTAACTCTTTTTTATCATACTGTTCCTTGAGAATGTGATTTACTGACTTTAACTAGACATTTTGACAAAGAAATAGAAGAATTAGGAAATTTTTTTCAGCTTTGGTGCCATTACTATAGAACACATTTAAGACCTTTAAATGTGGGCCGTATTTTGTTCATCCTTGCTTCCTTGCTTTACCACTCTGCCTTGTACATAGGAAGTCCTCGATAAATGGTTTCTAAATGAATGAACAAATAATAGCGTACTCAAATTTGAAGTGATTTTTGTGGAAAGAAATAGTGGTAACCAAACATTTTGTTTGTTCCATATTTATATTTAACAAAGTTCTTTATGACCTTGGTAACTGGTGAGCTATAGAAGCCACACATAGTACCTATAACATGCTCTTGAATATGTGAATGGGAGAAGTGAACGCTCTTTTTAGCCTTTATTTTTTAGTTTTAATGTTATTTGGTAGTCTTTTTTAATGTTGGAAAATTAAATATGACCTGGAATAAAATAAATTAATAATAGCTATAATAATAGCAAACACATATAGCACTTACTTGTGCTAGGTACTGTTATAAGTGCTCTACACTTGTTAACTTATTTAATAGTCACAATAACCCTATTTTACCGATGAGGAAATTAGTTTGCAGTTTGGTAATAATACCTATGTATACCTACACTCCTCCCCCATCACTATACCACAAAAATATTTTCTCTAACAGCCAATCGTCTGGTTCTACCATTTACTGCCTGTGAAACCTTTAGGCAATTAAACTGTTTAGAGCTCTTTTCTCTTTTGTAATAGTGGAGATCATAATACCTACTTTGACTTCTTGTGGGGTTGTTATGAATAACAAATGAAGTAACCTTTGCAAGAGCCTTTGTAAACCTTAAAGCACTATCCAAATCTAATTTGTTCTTTTTAGAACGTTTAACACCCAACAATTATTATAAAATAATAAAGGAGATACTATATTTCTGTGGTAAACAGCTGGCAGTATGGAGAAGATGGATGTATTAAAATTAGACTTTTTAATGAAAGACTACTGTATGTGTGATAATATATTGGATATTAAACTGAAAGGTTAGTTATTAGATATCAGATTCCAAAGTGAGATATCAGATCAAGATACAGATTTTTGAAGCAGATAGGATACTAACCTAAAAGGAAGCTATGAAACTATCAGAGGAGTGGAGTTGGAGAAGGATTGGTGAAGAAATTTCTTTGGAGAGAACTGCTGCCTCGCCCATTTTTCCCATGGCACTGGATACACACAAAGGTGAGGAAGGGGGTGCTACCAGAGAGAGGGAGGCTTTGATGTGTGTCCTCTGAGGTCCTAGAGGCACATGTCTAGAAGCATATGGACAGATATCTGACACGTTTCAAAGCCTGTGGCTCTCAGTCTAAGGTGTTAGGACAGAGAAGAGAGTTGCCAGTGATTTGGAAAATGCATGCTTCTGGGAGAGAGTGGTCAATAGTAGATGAATCCCAAAGGTAGGAAGGAATGTTTGCTCGTGGTATGGGATGGAAGGAGTGAAGGAGAGTTAATGAAGATGGGATCGGCAGCACTCTCAGAGTTTGTTAGATCTAGAAATGAGTGATACCAAGTGTGAGAGTGGGTTAATGTTAACGTAGGCGTTATCTTAGATCCTGTCCAGTAGGGCCAGCTAGAGGGAGGATGGGCTGTCAGCAGAAAGCAGGCTAGAAGTTTCTAGATTGCTAGAGAATGTGGAGAGAATAAGTGGAATAGAATACGTTTGCCAGATTAGTAGAACTGCAGATGACTAGGGCTGGCTTGATGGGATGAGCCCTATGTAGTTGTTTAGTGCTCCATACTTGGTTTAAGGCTCTGCAGTTGCTATCTTGAAATTCTTAATCATTTTTGAACAAAGGGCCCTACACTTAGTTTGCACTGGGCCTTGCAGGTTATGTAGCTGGACCTGCAAATGAGAGACTACCCATGTTGAAAAAGTCTCTGCTAAAGCCAGCATAAGAGCTTTAAACATCTGTCAGGCCTGGAGAGCTTGACACTGTCTTATAATGGCACCAGTCAAATACAAACTTGTGATATTTCGGTAGGGGCCTGAAGCTACAATCAGTAAGAAGAGGTGGGAGTATTAGGGAGAAACAAGCCATTTGCCACTGCCTATAAACATACACTAGCCTGGGAGCTGAGGGGAATTGGGATTGGAAGGGGGTTGTGTGCATGTGTGTAAATATTACCTTTGAATGAAGACTGAAGTCTTGAAAAGAAGAGGACATTCTAATTGAGACTGCGTTTGTGAATGAATGTAAGAAAATGGATATAAGAGTCATGGGGCCTACTGTAATTTACATCCAGAGCCAGAGAAACAGTCTCCTTCAAATAGTAAATTTTAAAGAGAGAGTGGAAGACAAAAATAAAAGTATGTTGTGATCACATTGCTCAATATGCCAGTTATATATAGTAACTTTTTTCTTATGTAATCAATCATCTTTGGGCCAACTTTACAGAATGTTTTGTATGATTTCTTGGAATTTAGAGAGTACATTTTTGAAAGCAGTTTTATATTACTGGCTTTTAAAAAGATGTTAGAAATAATTTTATTAGAATATGCCTTGCCTTATTTTCTTTGTCAGATGTACCCAAGATCCCACTGTTCCCATATTTATAGAAGATGAACCACAATTTCTGTTCTCCATTTTCAAATTCATTATCTTTATAGCTTCCTCTTCCTTGATTACTCAAATTACTATTGCCTACACTGCACTCAGAGATTATTACTCCAACTTTTTTTTTATTGTTTGGTGTTTGAAATGGACTATATATTGATTCATTGTATTGACTTTATTAAAATGCATAGTCTAGATACTTATGAATCGTGGTTACAATTTGAAGTTTTTAATGAAATATTTTGAATGCATTTTTTCTCCCTGCATAATTCAGTAAAGTGTTTACCATTTTATTTTGTTACTGTTTCTTCAGAAAGACTTACCCTATGTTATTTCTGAGTCAATACGTACTGTAAGACCAAAATTTATAACCCAAGTAATGTATAGATACATTAACGTTTTTCCCATAAAGTGAAATTTTATAAGTTTTTTCAGTATTACTTTGATTTAATTTGTCTAATCTGCTTTGAATTTTCTTTTATATTGGGATTTAATTAAAATACTTTATTTCAGTCTTTCCTCTCTCCTTAGATAATTTTTGAAATGTAGAACTTTATATTTATCACTACCAGTTAAAGAATGAATCATGTTAGATTGAGTTTTGCATATTTGGTAGACACAAGGCTTACTAACAGATAGATTTTATTCACCTATGTAGTATTATGTAATAGTACATTTTCTTTTAACAAATATTTTAGTGGTTTTTAAATGATAGCTCCTCTTTGAACCCTTCTTTTATTCCAGTCTACTCTGTTTTATAGCTCCACAAGTGCAGGAATCAGATCTTAAATCATTTTTTAGTAATTATGTTCCTTGTATCATTTATATGATGACTTCGACAAGTAGGTACTCAATAAATCAGAGTCGAATACATACTTTTGAAGTGAGTATGTTGAAAACTTTGAATTAATATGTCTCATATTTTTATAGGCTAACATTTCCAGTGATCACTGGCCACCCTTGGTTCAAGAGGCTACAACTGAGGCCTTGAAACTTTGCTTTTGTCCACTGGCTGTTCTCTTACAAGCTTTGTTACAATTCAACCGCAAAATGGGGGCAAGGTATAAAGAATATTTGTTCATTTTTTTTCTTGGAAATGCTTTTCCACTTTAAATCCTTCTAGGTAACAATCAAGGAAAAATTTATAATTAGTTTAACAAACTAATAAACTTTGGGGTTGTTTGTATATATGTATCTGCTTTGGAAGAAAGAGCTGGTTCTAGAAATCCAATAAGAGAGAAAAAAGTCTTGTATTTGTTTTAAAAAATAATTTGGTATGCAAATATAGGATATGAGAGGTTTGACATGACAACATACTAAGTGAAGACACCTTGGAGTTTTTGTTCTCCACTATGTTAGGAGGTGCCAACAATTTGATGAGGATTCTAGAAACAAAATCAAAAAGACCCAAATTCAAAGCTATATTAACAAAAGTTCTTGCTAATGCTATAAGTTATGATGCTAATGCTGTAAGTTATGAAAGAAGTAATAAATATTGAAAAGGCAGAGATATATTGTTTATAAATAATGTGGTTTCATATCTAAACAATCCAAAATCTACTCAGATTAAACTATAAAAATTCTAGCAATATTTTTATTGAAGGGTGGGGATAGTTTCAGCAATAAATTTGAAGAGACTTACTTAAAGATCATAAGGATGAAAAAACAGGCAAGAATATTTTAAAATTCTGAAAATAATATCTAGTTCTCATAGATACTACACGTAGTACAAAGCAACTAGAAGTAAAACAGTGATTTAGGAGCAGACATTACTGGAACAGAATAGGTGTTATAGAAATAAAGCTTAATAATAAATATGTGGCAGAAGACACATTCACAAAATAGAGATTTCAATACTTGTGAATAGAAGGGAGGAAAAAAAAATCTAGGGGACTAAGGGTGATGGAAGATTAAGACCTTTTGTATGGCTAATTAGAAATTCCGGCATTATTTATTAATATTTTATTTTTGGACATTTTTTGTGTGTTACTATTATAATTTCACCAAGAAATGTTTTATAATGTAAACTTCCTAATGAACTACTTCTGCTTATGCTCAGTATGGATGACTTGGAAGGCATTATCTCCCTTTTCCCCCAGGAATCTTTGTTAACACCTCCCATAATTTTTATTGCCTTCAAAACCCAGCCCAAATAAACATAAGGTCTAAGAAAAAAGAATATACTTACTGTATTAGCCCTATGCAAAAGCATCTTTAAGACAATTTCTTTAGTTTCTGCTTCAAACCAATTGCTACTTATAAGATCCTTCTACTTAGCAGTTCTGAAGTTACCTCAATTTGTTGTTTTTACCGGTACAGAAGTTTTTGGAGTCAAAGATGTTAGTAAATTAGGAAAGAAAAAATTAACATAACTATAAATCAGCTGTTATTGCATCAGCTCACATATCACACACATCTTTGAAAACATACACTAAAAGTCTGATATGATACACTTAGCCTCTAGTGTAGCTGTTAAATATTTCTTGTTCCACTCTACTTCACCTTTGTATTATTTATTGATTTATTTGTTTTCTGCCTACTTTCAAAAAAGATTAGAGGAGGAGCACTCAGAACTGTTCATAAAATAGGGGTGCCTTTCCTCATTCTACTTGGAAGGAACATTAATTTATTTATCTGAAAAATGGGAATAATAATAGCAACTACCTAATAAGGTTGTGAATATTAAACATGACCACATGTGTAAAACGTTTTGCATAGTACCTAGTGCATGATACTTAATAAATATTAACCATTATTATATTTATTATTTGAATAAAAAAATTATGAAGTAATCAAGTATCACATCTGCAAAAGAATGAGAAAGATACTGTGTGTATGAGACTACTATATGAAATATGTTAATTTTCATGCTTCAAACTAAATGTAAATATCTTTTTCCCAGAGAAACACGACGTCTTTTGGAGAGAGTGGTGTATCAGCCTGGGTATCCCAAATCTATTGTATCAACTGCACGTTGGTACCTACTGAGACACTTATATGCCAAAGATGACTATGAGCTCATTGACGTAAGGCATTGATTTTATTTAAAATATTTTACCTTGGCCCTAAGGGTTTTAGAGTTATTTTTCAAAATTATTCCACTTTATGATTGAATTTTTCAAAAAAATGACCATGCAGTTCTTTGGCCAACAAAAGACTACAATGTCTGCTGTTGTATCTATTAAAAGTAAAGAAATATTTATGTACATGGCTTGAAGATTAAATATATAGCTTGCATCTTACCATGGGTTAGTTATAAAATTCCCATTTCAATATTGGAATACTGAAAGCTGGGAAACTTTGACATTAATAACAGGACTGTTAATGCTATGTTTAAAAACAGTTTAATGTAGATTTATCCTGTATGTGTATAAGACACCCTTATATGGGGAAGCTAGATTGAACATCCCTAAGCCAGAACTCCAAAATGCTCTAAAATCCCAAACTTTCTGTGTGCCAACATGATGCTCAAAGGAAATGCTCATTGGAGCGTTTCAGATTTCAGATTAGAGATGCTTAACCATACTAATTTGTCTTTGACATAACCATTTCAAAGCCAGAATCTAAACTGATAGCAAGTACAGAGGATTTATGGCATTGGTTTAAAACCTTAGGGTCAGATCAGTTGTGAAGTATATTGTAAGTAATCAGATACTAATCATAGGTGGCAAATGGTTTTACTTTTTTTTTCTGTATTAAAATATAGCCAATTCATGGATATCTTTATATACTTATCTATCAAGGCATTCTTATAAGCTTTCTTTTTCATTTTTATTTATTTATTCATTTATTTTTTAAGAGATAGGGTCTCCCTCTGTTGCCCAGGCTAAAGTTCAGTGGCGCTATCACAGCTCACTGTAACTCCTGGGCTTGAACTCCTGGGCTTAAGCCATCCTCCTGCCTCAGCGTCCTGAGTGGCTGGGACTACAGGTGTGCACTCTCACGCCCAGCTAATTTTTTTTTTATTCTTTAGAGACAAGGTCTCCTTATGTTGCATAAGCTGATCTCAAACTCCTGGCCTCAAGCGATCCTTCTGCCTCGGCCTCCCAAAGTGTTAGGATTACAGGTGTAAGCTACCGCACCCAGCCCTTATAAACTTTTTCTTAAGTGAAGGAGAAGGGCAACATTAGAGGGAGCTTGCCTAATTGGTAATATTTTATCTATAGACCACTGAAAATTTTACGAGTTTAAAAGTCAGCCATCAGATGTACTAATGGAAGAGGTAGCAGAATCTAATGGGGTGTTCACATTATCTTTGAAGAAATTATTTGACTACTTCTTGCCTTTTCTATAAAGTATATGTGATAATTTCTACTCCTCATGGGATAGCTCTGGTATCTAAATATATAAACATATATGTATCTAAAATTCTTTTGAAAAAGGTAGAATATATAAAAATATATTGGGTTAAGATTCTCATAACTTTAGCCAACAATTTAAAAAGCAATGAAAATTAATGAAAAGGTTTTCAGTACCTATAGCATTTTGAAATACCGTTTGCTTCTTGGTGAAATATACAAAAGAAAAGAAATGTTAAAGAAAACAATGTTTGGAGAAAGGCATTATAATCAACATATTGCAAACAAAAAAAGGTAGAACATGTATGAATATTGGGAGACAATTGATCATGGGTCTCTTGTGTGTGTAAATACTTTGCGAGCAGGGGACCTGACTATCCTTTGTTCCAATCTGTCTTTTCAAGGATATTTGTAGTGAATAGGCTTGGGAGACAGACATAGTGTCTCCTTCCAGAGCAAAGGGTAGGCATTCCTGCCCATTCTAAAAGACCTACGTCTCCTAGGCTCGGGGTTCTCCTCTTGTAATACAACCCACATATGTGGGAACTATGTGTCCATCCATGTCACCCTGTGAAGCTTAGAGGGCAAGGGGAACAGATGCAAATATGTTGATGCTGATGCTGCTTGCTGTACCATGAGTAATGAAGTAATGAAGACCTTTGTCTCTGACCCAGGAGTCCTGTGTCTTCTGGTAGCATCATAGAACTGTAGTGGACTAACTTGTTAGTTTGCAAGTAGAGCAAAATCTCAGACCCTTCACCGGGCTTGGCAATGAACAACCAACAGATGTTTTAATAGTGGAATGATCAGCTGAAATTTAATCTTCTGGTTTGTGGAATTGGTGAAATCATGGAAAGATTTTTTTTGATAAAGCCTAGAACCTAGACCCTAAATCCTAAGCTGTGACTTTAAAAGGGAACAATGTCATTTGGACAATTCTATTCATAAAATGCTCTTTTGGGGTAAGGGTTTAGAGACTACTATACTATAAACAAAGCCACCAAACAAAACCTTAATTTTATACAGTGCTGACAGTAGTAACAATCAAAATGTTGGTATCTATACTAAATTGAATGAATTGTGCTCTCTCTGTTAACTATGAACAATTTATTTTAGCAAAAGTGAATGAAAAATTGCACAGTCACTTTTTCTTACATGATTTGGTGTTGCCTTTCAAAACTGCTGCCCTTGGAATACTTGTCTTCTATGAATCTAAATATGGATATTGTTAATAAACAAAATACTAATGTTCTTGTATGTAATTTCTCACAGGTGCTGGTAAACAATGCCAAAACTCACGGAGATACAAGAGCATTGGAACTGAATCAGAAATTGTCTTCACAATAATATTGGATTATTTTATAGTAAGGAAGCAAAGAAAAAACTGTCAAATGACAGCAACTGTCAAAAGCAGTAGATCAGGACTTTTTCCCAAAGCAACATTTTTAAAAACTATAGTTATAATCATTCATTTTTTTTCTTTTTTAAGTGTAAAGAAGTTTAAGTTTTTAAGTTAGGAATGTAATTTTCCATTAACTCTTAATCTGATTTTAATCTGGAAAAAAATCTTTGGGAAGTCCATAATGAAAGGAAAACCATGATTCCCTGGGTTGCTCAACAATTATTTGTAAGCCATTATTTTCTGCATCTTGCATGGTGCACAATAGAATATCTTGTTTTGTAAGCCCTTACAGTAAAGCCTTAATAGCCATTTTCTAAATAATATGCAAAAGCAGATTAGCACAATGCAGAATTTTCATTTGTTAAAAAACAAATTCAAAGATTTAATTCCTCCTATGAATTCTGGAGTTCAGCAGATCAATTCATCATAAAATCCAAATCATCTTATAACCTATTTTGCTAGTGGTTAATCTCAGATTCTACTGAAGAAGCATAATATAAATGTTGGTGAGTCTTAGACTCTAATGGATGTGATTATATAATTCAAAACACTCAGGTGTATGGTTGCATTTAAAAACATTAATGGAAAATTTTGTAAAGTAATGCTATCAATATTTAATTGATCATGTAATTTCTTCAATTATGATGAAAAGACTTGAACTTTCTGAAATAAAACAGAAATACAGTGTCTTTCTTTATAGTATCAATATCAGACATAATTTGTAAATTTCGAATTTTAAAACGTGAAAGCAGTTATCTATTTTTTTTTTCAAAAAACCCTTTATGTATATGAAGAAACTATGTCACTTACTTTGAATTTGTGGTTTTAAAAATGTCTTCAGACATTTGCATATTATTTATTATATAAAAATATGTGGTTATATAATTTATGTGGGTTTTCTAAACCAACAGCTTCACAATGTTACTTTGTGAGATAATATAAATTGACAATATTCTGTAATTAAATTGCACTTCAGAGTTTAATCTGTTGAACTGAACTGTAATCTTGTGTTTCCCAAATTTGGCTGAACATTATAATCATTCAGACCTATGCAATCAGAATCTTTAAGGATGGGGGCAGGCCTAGGACTCTGCATTTTAGAGGTATGAGTAAAAAATTCTAATATTCATTCAGATTTGTGAACCACTGGATTAACGCAATGATGATTTTTCCGTTTATTTTCTTCTTTAGCAAGTTTAAGCACATGCCAGTCTCTGCCCATTTCTTCCTTATCCTCATAACTGTCAAACTGATTCAGTGCTTTCAATGCTGGCTCACAGACTTAGCCAAAGATGCACTGCAAAAGGCTGCCTGTGCAGCCCTGGTGCCCATGCCCTCCTGTTCCCTCAGGGAAACACTTCAGCCTTTTCCCTTCAGAATGGGATGATTCCATTTGCCTAAATGCTTTGGATTCAGTTCTTGTCCTCCGTCTGCTTTCTGGGGTATCCTTTGCTTTACAAGGTCACTTCCACCTAGACTGTGGACTTGGTTTTAGCCTTTGCTTCAGGCCCATAATCAAGTGGTAACCTTTTAACTTGACTCTCTTGCCAAATTCTGGCTTTCAGGGACCTCAGGTCCAGAGTTGGCAAAACACCTTTGGTAATACCATCTTAGGTCATTTTTTTTTTACATTTATGTGCACACATCCTCTCTCAACTTTTGTTTGTTGCCGTTTTTTCAAATTGCTACCCAGTTACCATGACCTCAAATCATTTCTAATTATATAAATTTTATGGAGCTTACTTTGTGCCAGACCTAGGCTAAGTATTCTTAACCTTGTCATTTAATACTAGTTAATAAAAGAGAGTGGTGCTAAACAGCATGCGTAAAGCAAAAAAAAATTCAAAATGAATCAGTGTTGTCAGATTCTAGAAACTCTAAAAGTGGCCAGAGTTTCCTTTTGGAGTTTATACATAAAATTAATTAGAGGAATTAGATTAAAAGTTATTTCCTGAAGTACCAGTATTTAGCATTCATATTATTATATCATTATTTTTGTTATACTTTATTTGAAAATTATGGTGCATTTTTTGTTGTTTTTTTATCCACCATTTTCTATTATTGATTAGATCTTTATAGACTAGTTTGGCATCTAATAATAATTTCCTATGGGAAAAACATTTCAGATTACAAGTAAGCTTTTGAAACACAATCTATTTGTTTGGGATCAGTTATCATATTTCTTCAAGTGTCCCTTCTATTAATTTCTGGTTAAGAAAAAAAAAACCCTTAATTTAAAATACTGTGCTCTTTTTTCACTTAATAAAAGGAACTATTGACAAACTTCCTTTAATTTAGAATTCTACACAGAATAAGATTGGCTAGAAATACTCAGGTTATACATTAAGGTATTTAAAAGTTGTGGTTATTTAAAATAGTATGAAACATTAGGTAAATATTTACTAGTATGTAATATAAGAATATGAAAGGATACATACTTGGTTGCTGCAGAGAAAGTTTGATATCTGCTTTGGGGAAATTTATAGAAACAGCAAAATGAAGCATATTTTGGCATGAGTCAATGTGGCCTGAAGATCCATTTCAGTTTTTGCACATTAAAAAGTGTGGGAACTTTGTTTTGACAAAGTTGACTCTTGTCTCTCTACAGGTCTTCCTTTCTCCCTCGTTAGTTGTTAATGGATGGAAAACTTCTCAGGCTTCCATGCTGCTTTTTGGAAGGTGTAGCACTCAGCTGCTGGTTATAAATTGGCCCTCAATTTGCAGGAGAGTTTTTTTGTTTTGCTTTTATTTTTGTACTTTCAAAAGATACATTTGTGTATCGTATACAGGTACAATAATTTTTCCATATATATATTTTTAAGACTTTTCATATAGATGGAATAAAAAGAATATCCTCGTGCCCCATTTTTGGTTTTGAAAATGTATTCACTAAGATTTATTATACCTCAATACCACTCATGGTGTCAGGCTGTCCCTGTGCTATAATAATGGGTTTTTCATTTCTTTGGCTGAGTAGGAGCTTTCTGAATAGCAGTATTTTAAATTCTGATGTACTTAAGCAAATAATCTCTATAACTATAATAGTTTTATAAATGCTAAACTATCTTTAAACCTTAAAATGTTTTGACATAGGAAAATTAAGATTTAGTATATCTTTAACAAATAGCTGTTATGAAACATTTAAAATATTTTCATCTTATTAATTCTGAACTTAGAATTGAAAATACCTAATTGTTTTAGTGAAGGGAAATGGTGCCAATAATAATTAAATTAAAATTGGAGTGTCCAACAAAATAAGGGTTGGGTTTCATATTACATCACTGGACTGTTGAAATAATTTACACATGATGATCTCTACTGAGTTTGAATCAGTAAAAAGTTCATTTGGGCCTCATTCTTCACCAATACTTTCCTTGTGTATAACATTTATTATAAACATTTTAAATTATATTGATTTTATGGAAATAAACATGTTTTCATTACCCACCTTATCTTGCAGTTTCTGCTTGTGGTAGGCAGAATAATGGCCCCCAGAAATATTCATGCCTAATCCCCAGAGCTTGTGAAGACACAGCAGAGGTACTTGGCAAATGTGATTGAGAGTAAAGACCTTGAGATAGGGAGATTATCCTGGATTATCTAGGTGGATCCAATTTAATCACAAGTGTCCTTAAAAATGGAGAATGTTTAAGAGAGAGATGACAATGGAAGAAGGTCAGAGAGATTTGTCATTGCTGGTTTTGAAGATGGGGAAAGGAGACATCAGCCATGAGGTAGATTCTAAAAACAAAAAAACAAGAAAACATGCTCCTATAGAACCGCCAGAAAGGAATGGCAACCTTGCTGACAGCTTGATTGTAGCCTGGTGAGATGCATACCGGACTTCTGACTTACAGAACTGTAAGGTAATAAATTTGTTGTTTTAAGCCACTAAGCTTGTGATAATTTCTCATGGTAGCAATGGAAAATTAGTACACTACTCATTGTGTATGCTGTAAAAATGAATACACATTCCTTTAAATTTGAATTTCACAAGATCACTGAGATTGGAGATCATCTAAATTGTTGCCAAAAAGGAGTGAGCAAAGATGATGAATTATTAAAAATGATTACTTGCTGTGAAAATATACGTGTCAAAAATTCTTGACTCTTAAGATGTGACTGTTCATTTTTATAATAATTAATGTCTGAACTATTCTTGCCCAACATGCTCCTTACAGCACAATATCACCAATGCTGTTGACAAGTACTTTAATTCCCTTTAAAAGAAACTGCATTAAATTATACTCACAAAACCTAAGTAGTGTGCTTCAGACTGAGTTTCAATATTGAATGGGTGTGTGACTGGATAAGTCTTGGCCTTTAGTTTTAATTTGAATTTATAAAATTAGGGCCTTAAGCTGGATTTCTGGTAGCAATATTCTGTTGTAAAATCACCAAAGTTTTCCAAGTCAGAACTGAACTGAAACAAAATATTCAAATAAACTGCTTGGTGCGGCACCTGTGAAGCAGCAACTGTGGTTTACACTGAACAGGGGGACCCCTGGTGCTTGAAGACCTTTTTAGGGTAGAACCCCTTTGCAAAGAGACTCATACTGTTGAGAAGGAAAGTAGTCCTATACTCAGAAAATACTTTAATGGAAGCCAGCATCTATGAATTGTTGAAAGTAATTACATGTGTCTGCTGCTTGCCAAATAGATTATACTTCTTACAGGAAGACCACCCACATTAAATAAAATATTCACATTGCTTTGTTATCTCACTTCCCAGGTGACTTAAATAACTTGAGTTTCTAAGACGCTACCTTTTTAATGTGGTTTCCTCCTCTTTGAATCATCCAAGATATGATCACTTAATCTCTAGAAAAAAAATGCTGCATAGTTTAATAATCAAGCCATCGAGCTTTTCTAGGAAACCACTATATATAGATTTAAAAGTTCTAATCTTGATCTGTTCAATTTAATAGATCAAGAAATGGAAAATACTGTACAAATAGTTTTTATATACATGCTAGCTTCAGAAGTTTGGAAATTAGTCTGGGAAGAAGTCAAGTGGTATGGGAAAAAAGACATACAGGTTTTATCTTTGCAGTCTGAGTTATGTGTTTTCTTGTCAATGTGCATCCCTGGCAGTGCTAATTTCTCTTGTGTTGGGGCACAAGTTACTCTGGGGACAAGAGAAAGCCAGATAGAGCAGACGATTTTTCATGTGGAAAGGAGGAGGAGGTTAGGCAGAAGAAAAAAAGCATTGTTGAGAAGGCAAATTTATATTGTCATAAGCAGCTTCTGTAAGGTGGAAATAAATATATTTCTGAATTGCCTGAGGTCAGCCCTACAGTGCCTCAGAA